TCTGGGTGTAATTTATCTATGATATGTATGTATTTAGAAATATTTAAGTATGTTTATAAGCAGTCTCGTTACCATGATACAGGCTTTGCGTAGTTTGGCACCAGACGGCCGTGTGTAGGTATGGCTGAATGCATCGTGGATAGATATATAATAATAATAATATTTGGATGTGTAACACAACGCCATCTAGTTTCAAACTAAGCAGAGCTTGTACTATGAAAGCTAGATTGACTGATAGAATACTTATATACTTTTTTTTGTAAATATATACATATTTGTAGATCATACAAACATTTGGTCCGACCCGGAAATCGAACCCGAGACCTGAGCACAGTAGTCGCATACGCTACCACTGCGCCACCGAGGCAGTCAATATGTAATACATAGTCTGAAATAGCATATAGGCTACCTTTTACAGCTGACATTAACTCGATTGAAACCGTGGGCAAAAGTTAGTTTAATCATATCTTATATCTGATTGTTTGTGTACCTACGTTTCAAAAACTCAGAAAGTTCTGCACCGATTAAGTTCAAATTTGACATTTTACAACTTCAAAGATGGTTTTTATCTAATTGTTTCCAACCACAATGAGCCACAGCGAAGCGTGGTAGGGTACAGATAGTTTCTGATAAAGTTAAAAGCGTTATTAATAAAAAAAAACAAATAAGAACCCTAAGTACCCCTAAATAGGTAACAATTTAAATTGTATTCATCATTTTTCTGTTGGCGTCAGTGCATTGCGTTAAATTGCAAATGGTTCGGTTCAAAGACATTTATTTCTCAGAAAAAAGAACAATACAGTTGACTGCACGGATGGCGTAGTGGTTTAAGTGGTCGCCACGCCGCTTACTCCTACGCTGAGTGTTGTGGGTCCGATCCCCCCATGGAACAACACTTTGTGTGATCCACAAATTGTTCTACTGAGTCTGGGTGTTCTTTGTGTCCGTTTCATGTTTGTTTGTAAAGTCCCCCGCGATACAGGATATATTCCTAATGCGGGAGTAGTCTTTAAAAAAAAACATAAAAAAAAACAAAACAGTTCACTTACATAGTGAGAAAATGTAACAACACAAAATAAATTAGTTAAGTATCTCTGTGATCACTACACACATACATACAGTAATATAAAACTAAAGATATGAAAACAATTTGATTGGTGTCAGTACTTTTTGCTAATATAATCTTCTAAACTATTTTTTTACTTTTTTCGCTAGTTTCCGTTATGGCCAGCCACCTGTTTGCCACTAATCATCCGCAGGAATGTGTGTAATCGTTTTCAAACTGGACATACGCAAGAATGTGAATTTGGATAAGCAAAACGTATAGAATGAGGCAGCTAAGATAGATACAGATAAAGCAATTATTAGGATAAAACATTAAAAGGATAGTACCGCAACTGTTGAATTAGAGAATAGGGAAAACGGGTCTGAAACTGAATTAGTTTTTTTGTGGAACCGGTCGCTGTCTGAGTCTGACTGAGCAGTCTCTTACAAGTAACATGGGATGGAGAGAAGACATGATTTCGAAAAATAGAGTATAAGAACTTAGATAAGTAGGGGATATTAAAAGTAGTATATATATGATGGCTGGCAGGAGAATACAGCATCCAGCGAGAAGCCAAAAATCGATCTAAGGAATAGTTACTCGTACACATAGTGTAGATTATGAAATAAATACATACAAATAAAAAAATTAGTGAAATTTATAAATATTATAAACCTTAGTTAAACAATCTTATAAGTAAATAGTCAAATAGCCAAAAATTAGATGTCATTGAGGCAATCACATCATCAACAGCCTTTAATAGTCCACTGCTGGACATAAGCCTCTCCTTAGAAGGGAGGATATGGCCAGCAGTGGATATCCCATGCTAATAAGGATGGTGAAAATATAAACTGATATATCCCTTTCGTAACATATTATTTTAGAAGTGGTTAGTAAAATGAGCAAACTATATAAGTTTATAGGAATTACTTTTCCCCGTTTTTGCAACATTTTCATTGATGCTTGTCTCTTATTGGTGGTAACGTAATGTTATAAAGCCTTCCTCGATAAATGGGCTATCCCAAATTCTTCGATTTTTTATAATTCGAACAAGAATCTACCAAAGAAACAAACCTTTGGTAGATTGCTATATTTACTCAGTTGTAATGTGATGTATACCGAAACGGTTCTTTTGGGCTTCCAACAACAAAAAAAATACACGAAATATTTCTACCAATATAATGATTAAAACTATTTAAAGTAGGTAGGTATTGACTTAGTGATTCATCAGCTCTTTAATACGTAGATATTGCACTGAATTGTCAATATATGCTGACAATACAAAACAGTTCATTTATTGAGGACATGCATATGCTTAAGTACGCAGTCAGCCAACTCAGCATCTTTTTATTAAATGCACAGAACTTTGTTTTAAAGAAATTTATATGTTACTAGCTTTTTAATGCGGCTTTGCCCGCGTATATGTTGGTTATAGCCTATGTCATTCCTCAAGAATCCAAGTATGTCCATACCAAATTTCATCTGAATCTGTTCAGCGGTTAATCATGCCCCATACAGATTCCACCCCCCTTTTCACCCCCTTAAAGGATTATTTATTGCATAAAAACTATGTCCTTTCCCGGGACTCGGACTATCTCTATACCAAATTTCATCGAAATCAGTTCAGTGGTTTAAGCATGAAGAGGTAACAGAGAGACAGATAGACACACTTTCGCATTTATAATATTAGTATGGAAGAATTAAAAAAATATTAGTACGGTTTGTATGGATTAGTATGGGTTTAGCTTTCATCCGTGTGGTGACGGATTAAGAATACAGAGTGTTACGAGCCCTATTCATCCCATGGGTGTCGTAAGAGCCAACTAAGGGAAAGAACTACACAAAACAACAACACTGCAGAGACAAGGAAAACTTGACACAAACCCTATACTAACCCGTCTGGCCAGTATACTCGTAGTTGGTCAAAACCTCCTTTCTAAAGAGAGTCTTATGTCCAGCAGTGGACTATTAAAGCCTGTTGATGATGTGATTTCATTAAAACATTTATATTCAGTTGCTTATCTGGTAATGAAATACGAATACGAAAGAGATTATCATGAAATATTTTACACCTATGACATAATTCGTAATTGATAAAATTCTCGAGTTTCAACCGAGTATTGGAAAACGTGGCATGGGTAGGTCCACCACAAGGTGGTCCGACGACCTGGGCCTCAATTCTGCTATTTTATGTTCACGCCAAGCCACTGTCATACCACTAACACGCCATTGAGTGGCCATTGGCATCGGTATAAATATTGGTAGTCTACACTAACTCAATGTCTTCCTTCAAAAAAACGTAATATATTTTCAAATTGTAAGGATATGATTTGTTTATTTTTCCAAATATGGCAATCTTTTTGAAATCACCACTGATGAGCCACTGCCAGTCCATCGCCACTGTAAACTGAGTTAGTGTAGACTACCGATATTTATACCGATGCCAATGGCCACTCAATGGCGTGTTAGTGATATGACAGTGGCTTGGCGTAACCATAAAATAGCAGATTTGAGGCCCTGGTGAAGGCCGCGAGAAGCAGTTGCATGAGGCCAACACAGGACCGGTTGTTGTGGTGAAACTTGGGGGAGGCCTATGCTCAGCAGTAGACGTCTTTCGGCTGAGATGATGATGATGATGATGATGATGGGAGAATTATAAAGGCACGCGAATCCAGCTTCTTCAAGCTACTTTTTACATGATATAGGGGGCGAATCGAGCAGATGGGTTACCTTAACGGTAAGTGAATAAGACCGACCATGGATTTTACATGGATTTTAATCAGGAGATCAAACTCGCTTCGAGTTCGAGCTCTTGATTCTAACTTAATGCTAAGTAAGATAGTATAAGAGGCGGCCTTATCGCTCAGAGGCAATCTCTTACAGGTAACCGTGAAGCCCTTCGGGGGGAAGGGAACATCTGGGTTCCCACACAGGAGATGGTCATCTATAAGCCGTAGATGGCCCGAGGTATGTCGGGGTACCAGGGCTTTCCTTTCTAGGGTATACCTGGGTCCCCGGCTACTGATAAATGGAGACAGCGTGCGGTTTTTGGTCGGTTCGAGCCACCAATAAAACAACCGCCCTTCTTTTCTCTAGCATTTACCTTCTAAGACTTGCGGTAACCTTTAGTTTCCTAGCTTTATTTGTTTTGTCCTGTATCCCGTCTGTAAACGGTTATATTCCCCAAGAGGGGCGACGTCAGACAGGTGGCCGGCCATTTAAGAAAAAACCAAAACAATTTGTAATGTTGCACATTGCGCCAATCACAAAATAAAATTAGGAAAAGTAAAAGCGATGATGAGACGATTTAAATATTTTAACGACATAAAACTAAGCCTTCTGCTTAATTATGCGGTTGCTGGCGAGAATAACGGATGATAATACATTTCATTCACTAGTTAAGATTCTAAATACTTTTTCGTATAGATCTTGTTATTTTTTTAAAGTTTTTCTTTTCATTAGAACTTCTAGTAGTAAAAAAGGAAACAAAACATATTCGAAAAACAATTTTTAAATTTCTCAATGCTTAGGTTGGACTTTTTTGACTTTTGATCAGTGATGACATTATTACCCGCGTTTGTTACATTTAAAAATAGAATAGTAGTCTAAATAGGTACTACTTAACAGGTTGTATTTGAAATTAGGTATATTCATAAAATTTGAGATTCTACTTCGAATTTCAAAATAACCGTTTGTTTGCTATTATTCATGTGGAAGTTTAAAACAGAGATGTGCTCGTTTCGCGCTTATGAATAGAATAAACATGTCTTAAAAATAAGTTTAATTAAATCTGCAGTATATTTTAAATCAATATTCATTTTTGTTGTCATGTTACTTGCTTACCTTAATGTAATTATTATAAAAAGATAAAACACTTTCAACACAATAAAATAACACAAGAAAAAAAAGAATAAAGTTATTTTTTAAACACAAAATAAGTAACAAAATAAATTACCTTAGATATCTTGCAATTCCAATCAGTAAACCACGTCCGACAGTCACAACGTATGACAATAATTATTTATTTTATCTAAAGTATCACAAAATTATATATTATCACGATTTTTCACAACGATAATTAGTCTGACAATCCTCCACGCGTTTCACCTACTCCCAATTAAACACGTATACACCACTTATATAAAATGTTGCTATTGCAAAAATATTTATTAAAAAATTAACATCCAAAAAGAAAAAAAGAAACGTCGATTAAAATCCAAATAGCACGTTCAGCGCACGAGCATCGACTCCACGATCTTTTTACGTTCAAAGTAGTCCAAACGACCAAGACTGAGAACAATGTGTTGTCACCTTCTTTCGTATAAAGCTATCTCACTTCTAAACCGAGTGCATTCGTCCTTGACTCTGAACTCCGATGCCATAAGAAAGATGTACCGTTTCTATTTCTTTATTCTGTCCGTCATAAGTCGACTTGCTAATGTTCGAGCGAGAAGGCATGATAATTACCAGTTAGGTGTAAAATCTGGCTGTCAATGACCTCTAAGGATCAAAATAAGAAAACATTTTTTCACTGTTATGTTGTTTACTGTCATTTGAAAGGTCCTTTGACCTTTTTGTGACGTTTTACAAGTAAGTTTTTCTTAGAAACGTAAAAGGTTTTATATGATTAATTAAGTATTCTCAATAGTTGTTTATAGTCAAAAGGATGTGAGTTAACTAGACGTATCTTTATATTCTGTGTGTGGTATGTTCGCAATTAATATTAATATATCTCACACATCTCACCGTCTGATCCCAAACTAGGCAGAGCCTGTACTATGGTAACCAGACTGTTGATAAACATACTTATATATTTTAAATAGATACATATTATATATAAATTACACCCAGACACAGAACATATGACCGTGCTCATCACACAATATTTGTCCTGGGTGGGAATCGAACCCACGACCTCCGGCTAGGCCAACAGGCACGTCGATACTTTTAACCATATCTATAAAAGAAGAAACTGAAAGACTGAGTCACTGACTGATTGATCAAAGCACAGCTGAAACTAGGGTCTAGAAGGATGAAATTTAGCACAAGTGTTCCTTATGTGAGTCCGTGGCCGCGGCGTAAGCTGGTCCCGGTGGGAAACCAGTCTAAGTCCCGCCAGCCGAATAACGCACTTGTGTTTGAAGTAATAAGATTTCTGCAGTAATAAGATTTCCTTATGTGAAGTAATCTATACAAAGTGTCTGCTTGTTATATTAAAATAACCGCTTTTTACTAAATGCATATGTATGTTTACTCGGTACATATGCCAAAATAACATTTTTTTTCAATTTTTGTCTGTCTGTCTGTCTGTTTGTTCCGGGTAATCTTTGGAACGGCTGGACCGATTTCGACGGGACTTTCACTGGCAGATAGCTGATGACATAAGGAGTAACTTAGGCTACTTTATTTAGACTAGCTTCGCCACGCGGCGTTGCCCGCGGTTATAACAACAAACGCGGGTAACACCACGCGTCTCAGCTAGTGTACATTAAGAAAGGATTTAAAAAAATTCCATCCCAAAGGGTGCAAAATGAAGGTTGGAAATTTATTTGAAACTTATTAGAACGAACACGTTCTGAGCGGATGGGAGTCCAATAAATTTGTAACAAGACTTTTTTTCGACACTAGCAAACGTCTACCAAAAAGCGATAGGAACTTCGTTCCGAACTGGAGTCCATAGACCCCTCACACCGTTTTTTTGTGGTAGTAGCGTTGCCCCTAGTCGCTGGGGTTACAATCTTGAAATTATGGCATCTGAAGCTTTTTATGTTGTAAGCACCCACTAAGCAAGGTATTGGAAATTTCACCCTTAAGAGATAAAAAATAGTGATGATTGGTTAGACACGAAACAAGAAAATATCACGCGAGAGAAGCCGTGGGCCATTGCTAGTTATCCATAATAGAGGTACCTGTCTTACACATTAAGACTAGCGAAGTAATAAATATTTGTTTGAACATGTTATATAGATAGTTCAACTCAGTTGTGCGCGCGGCCCTAGCAGTGACTCGTGTGGCAGTCGTCGTCCGACTGCCGCGTCACTGCCACTCGAATGAAAGTTGTATATTTACAAGCCCACGCACACATAGGGTCGCGCGCACAACTGAGTTGAACTATCTATAACAATTTATTTAATTGTATCTGAATCTATAAAACACTAGCTGGTGCCCGCGACTCCGTTCGCGTGGAATTTGAATTGAAAATGTTCATGAAAAATAAATGGTGTAGTACGGTATGCGACTGCAGTCCATGAGGCCTCGGGTTCAATTCCCGGACCTAGCAAAATTTTATAGGATTTTTAGGAGATAAAAAATAGCCTAAGTTACTCCTTATATAGACAGCTACCTGGTCGTAAAATATTATCAAAATCGGTCCAGCGGTTTTGAAGATTACCCGGAACAAATAGACAGACAGATAGACATAAAGACAGACAGATCAAAAATATTTGAACTGGTATTTAGGTATAGGTATCGTACAAATGACAGTGTGAGCATGAAACAACCAAATATATTGACATTACAAACAGACACTTCAATTTTATTAAAGGCTGTGGATGATGATGATGATTATTAGATATTTGACACGAGTCAAGCAAAACTTAACAAGGGCTAATAACCTTTTAACGGTGGAACTGGTTTTTATCAATAACAGCTTTGATCCAGTCACTTATTTAACAAATTAAATTTAATCAAAATCGGTTCATCAGTTGAGGACTTAAGGACTAATCCCACCCACACGCCCACCACTGTAACTCCTGTACACCAGGATCCACAGCAGTGACCCACGAACACACCGAGTTATGACACTCTGACACAGGAAGAAATGAAACTGTCTTGGAACCCGCAACGAAATTAATCAGAAGAAAATTGGAGGAGTTGGAAATACAGTAAATCCAGGACTTATGATAAAGAGACAGATACAAGGTATAATGCTCACCTTAGGCCGGACGTCCTATGTATTTATAAGTGGCCTTCTTTCGTTCAATTCCCGTATGTCTACGAATCTGAAAGGCCCTGTTACCCAGGGTATTCTTTTCAAAGGAAGCGATGCCCATTTTCTCAGAAGAGTCGCTACTGGCTAAAGTTGATACTGATGCTAAGGTGAATTGAATTTAGATTTGTCATCTGGCCAGTAGACGACATATCTACCGGTCAGACGATAGGACGTTTCATATGACCCCTTGACCTTTGAGGGAGCCTTACCGCTTCCACCCCAGAATGGGGTGGTAGGGGGTTCAGTAGCCATACTATTAGGTAAATGGCAATGAAAGACTGACTGCACGGATGGCGTAGTGGTTTAAGCGGTCACCTCGACGCTTCCTATTGTGCGTTCGATCTCTGCATGAAACAACACTTTGTGTGATCCACAAATTGTTGTTCTGAGTCTGGATATTCAAGAGACAAATAGGGGTAGTGACATTCCGTATTGTTAATCCGTTATCACACGGATAACTGTATGATGAAATCTTTACTTTTGAAACAATTTAAAATAATAATGTATTTTGTTTATTTATTTTATAAAGTAACTTATCTATGGATTAAGGTTAAACAACACAAATCTTTTGATAACAGTGACATTTAATCACATTAAAATTTAATCTCTGTTAGTAACGTTATCAAACTATCGTCAGAATTATACAACGCTTATTTATAACCTTTTTTTTTTTCTGTGCCGAAATCCCCTCGGTTACCACCCACCGGTGGTTATGTCGGACACGAACCGACCGTCTCGGGTACCAGTTGCAGGGGAACCAGGTGTACCCTAGGAAGGAAATCCCTTATACCCCGACGTACCTCAGGCCATCTACGGCGTGTAAATCACCCCCTGATAATTATAACCTGACATAAAAAGGGGGGACTCATTGTTGCACAGTTCTAGATTTAAATAAATAGATTTAAAGTGTTGTATTTTTATGGTCAGAAGATAATAAAAATAACCTCTGAGATGTGTGAGGTTATTTTTATTATCTTATCTTATCGTGTGTGAGCACACGGCATCTTGATCCCAACCTGAGCAGACCCTGTACTACGGTAACCAGACTGCTGATAAACATACTTTTATATTTTTAAATATATAAATATTATAGACTTCGTTCGTGTGGAATTTAAAAGTGCTGCCTTAGTGAGTTTAATTCCCGGGCCAGGCAAAATTTTTTGTGGGTTTTCTGAGAGAAAAAATAGTCTAAGTTACTCCATATATAGGCAGCTACTCGGTACTAAAATAATATCAAAATCGGTATAGCCGTTTAGAAGATTACCCGGAACAAACAGAAAGACAGACAGACAGACAAATCACCGTGCAATCGATCTTGCAAATAACCGTGTAAGTATGAAAAAAAACATATTATTTTGACATTACAAACAGACACTTCAATTTTATTTATTTGTATAGATAAATTACACCTTTTTTTTTTTCGTGCGGAAATCCCCTCGGATACCACCTGTCGGTGGCATGTCGGACTCGAACCGACTAAAACCGCACGCCGTCTCGGGTACTAATAGCCGGGGAACCAGGTATACCCTAGAAAGGAAGTCCCTGGTACAGATAAATTACACCTAGATACAGAACAATGAATGATCATGCCATCACGCAATTATTAGTCCTATGTCTGTCCCAGTGGTTTAAGCGGTCACCTCGACGCTTCCTATTGTGCGTTCGATCTCTGCATGAAACAACACTTTGTGTGATCCACAAATTGTTATTCTGAGTCTGGATATTCAAGGGACAATTAGGGGTAGTGACATTTCCGCAAGGAGCCAACGCCTGAGTGCCACCACTGCGATGGCCAGACCGTGGACATGCTCATCACGCAAATATTAGTCCTATGTCAAAATGGAAGTCACAATCTCTGGCTTAGTAATCAGGATCTCCATCACCATTCAATAGATAACCGTAGGAGATATCAAGAGATAAGAGAGAGATAAAATTTTAGCAACAGTAGCTTGCAGGCAAGACTACACCTTATAAGCAGGTGAATGCAGGTTCTTACTTACTTATCACACTATAATATTAATAATATAATAAAAAACTTCACACATCTCACACACGGCAGTCTGATCCCGAACTAGGCTGAGCCTGTACTATGATAAACATACTTATGTATTTCTAAATACACACATATTATAGATAAATTACACCCAGACACAAAACAAACAATTGTGTTCATCACACAAATATTTGTCCTGGGTGGGAATCGAACCCAAGGCTTAGCAGTCAGAGTTACTAACCACTACTTTGACTGCACTGATGGCTTAGTGGTTTAAGCGGTCGCCACGCCGCTTCCTACTACGCCGAGTGTTGTGGGTTCAAACCCCACATGGGACGACACTTTGTGTGATCCACAAATTGTTGTTCTGAGTCTGGGTGTTCTTTGTGTCCGTTTCA